AAAGCGTTTTTTGATCCAACTGTTTGGTTATATATATAATATACCAGATATATATAATATACCATATATATAATACCAGAGTAATATTTTCACGTTTTTTTTTTAAATTTCGATGAATGCACAATATCTATACGAAAAGAAAAATCAATCGCGATTCAATTGTAAAATAGAAAATTCGAAAGAACATCGATCCGAAATTAAGCACACGACTACGACTAAGCATTCACGACAACGTTTCATTCAATCATCGCGGTTGCGGTTAGGATGAACTCATTAACAAATCGCGCTAATTATGGCCACTATTATCGGTTCAAGTGGCGATTGGTTGATCGGTGCGATCCATACTCTGGTAGTGGGATGGGTTAAAATCCCGTCGGGACCAATTGAAGTGGATGGTACCGATCAGATATCGAGTCGTCGTACCGCACCGCACCGCGTCAATGTCTTCCACCACTACAAACTCACCAATAACAAAATAACATGTTTGCTTCGTTATATACCTCCCCTTCCACTTTTCCTGTTTTAAAATCAAAATCTTTACGATTCAATTTTTCTTTTTTCTCATTTATCAATCGATTTGAAGCTGACAACTATCTAATAATCGTTACGTATCTAATAATCTACTATTGGTATTCCAAACTCACAATATTTTTTATCACAATTTAAAATATAATTCGAAACAAATAAATAAATTTGATTTAATAATGATTTTCAATTAATCAATAAACTTAACTAATTTATCTTCTTTTGATGAAAATTTTCCAATTATTCACTCTTTTTTACAAATGAAACATATATATCCTACAATATTAAAGATAATATCACTAATTATAGTGATATAATAACGAATGATAAAATTTAATTATTAGTACGAATCGTTGGTTAATTCGATAATATCTTTTCTATTTCTAATGGAATATATTCTTCGTTGAATCTCTATGAAAATCCAATATATACATATTTTTTTCGTTAGAATCAATAGTCTTTATCTTTCATTATTCTTTTCTTTGTTTTTTTTATTCGATTTTTCCGAAATTTGCTCACGATTCATCATCAATCGAAACAAAAAATTCATTTCGCCAAAATATAAAACAACAGTATATATATTTAAATATATATTATATTATATATATATGTGTATGTGTGTGTGTAGGATAATAATTAATAAAATAAAATTTATTACGATCTTTCGCATCTTTCATAAGAGTTAGAAGATTCATATGTTCGGACAAGTGGAAAATGAAAATCATATCGAAATATCAGAAGAAGGAAAAGAAGAAATAAATTAAAAATGAAAAAAAAAAGGGTCGAAAGAAAATAAAAAGATTTGAAAGAGAATAGAGATAAGAGATGAAAGGAAGAAAGAGAAATAAAGAGATGAAGAAAGAGACGAAGCGAAACATCTTGGTTGTTCGTGACCATAATCGGGAGAGGTTAGACGATTGGTTGGTTGGTTGGTTGGTTGGTTGGTTGGTTGGTTGGTCGGTCGGTCGGTTGTTTGATCGGCTAGCTGACTGCACAGATCGAGCCACACGGAAATCCACTTGAAAAGTAGCCATTACCTTAATTATTGGTCTTTCGTAGAGAGGCTATGTGCATTTTAGACCCAGAATGCGGTGCAACATTCGATGGTTTTTCAATGCTTCATAATCGACTAGAAATTCTTCACTAAGATATTTTGTTCAATTTATGCACGGTATTTATACATTCAATTTAAATTAAAAACAAATTAAAAGTGATCAAAAAAATGCAAAAGTAAATAAATATCACGTATCGATATCTACGTTTTACGGATCTATTTTAAAAGTATGATGAATAAAAATATAATAACATCATAAAAAATATTTACATACTAAGAAATTATATAGATATATAAAGATAAAAAGATAGAAGATAAAAAGAAAAAATAGAAATATAAAGATAAAAATAAATTAAATAATCGATATAATTAGTGTAAACAAAGATAATATTGAAAAAGTTCAGACAAAACGAAATAAAATTTTAATAAGATTTAAAAAAATTTTGCAAATCAACAAATTTCCTCGAATCAAACCTCTCTTATCATCGATATAATATATCCTTGCTCTTTTCCAAGACATACAATTTCGAAATATTGGCAGAAACTTCTTCATCTTTCTTTTTTATATAATATACCAATTACTCGCAAAATGCACGCAACTATGTAGTTATACTCGCGTTATATTACATATATATATGTATATATCCCTTATATGTATATATGTATATATACATGCGCGCACATGTGTAATTACATAGTTATTTACAATTATTTATTTAAATGTGCAAAGGATTACAGCTATTTTAACAATGCCCTTTTCCTCGAATTACTTTTTTCTCTGAAGCTAGTATTCCAATGATTCCAATGATTTTATTGAAAAACTTTGCCAAGTAAATATATAATGTGCACCATTTTGTTCCGAGCGAAACAAATATTTTTCATTCGAACATTTTTTTTCTTTCCACTTTTATTTTTTATCATTCAAATCATCTATCATTCAAATATTCTTCTAATCGAGATTCTTTTTGTCTCTACGAAAGCATAGTCTCATCAAAACATTTTAATTATTTTTTATATTATATTTTTTTCACAACAAACGATATCTTGTGGTTAAATCTATCGAAGAGAAAAAATTTTTCTACAACTCTCGAAATTAACGTATAATTAATCGATTTAATTAAATAATCAATTTTTATTTATCGTTAACAGCATTCTCATCGCATATAGATATATATCTCGTTAGATAATCTCGAATCTCGAAATAATATGACGATTTATAACTTTCGAGATTCACAAAACTTATATATTTGTATAATATTTGTTCCGCAATCTGTACCATAAGAGCATGAATGTGATATCTAATTTATCGAATTCGAAGATTGTGTAATATAAATATACCAAGTATTTTCTGATACGCAACTTCCAATATAATAAATACCAAATCTTCTTATTATTAATATCGCTTTTATCATTGAAAAATACAAATCATTTTGAGATAAATGACGCCATGTACGCCAAATGTTTTGAATCGCTCTTTTTGCGATCCGTCCTTCACCCGAAAGGATCAAGAATGAATATGTTAGAAATGCAGAGCAAGATATTTGCACAAAGTCTCGCAAATTCGTCAACAAATCGGTATAACGAAGAATTCAAAGAATTGTCGATGATCTCCTTAATCGAGATTCTGAGCTGATTATGATAAAAAGAGTTTTATAATAATATATATTTTCTTTTAACTCTTTTCTTGCATAAAGGACAAGCTGTTTTTGCAAAAAAGAGAATGCGAAACATTGCGAATGTGATTTAATGTGATTTAACCAGAAAACATTTCGAGAAAACAATGACTCTCGAGCAAAGAAGCTGCATTTGTATAGAATCTGAAAAGAAACGAGATATCTTAGATTCCAAAAGGCCAATTTAATTCAACGATGCCAATCTAATTGAAATTTGTCGCATTCGAGAAATATAAAAAAAAATAAAATAAAATATATCTTTTTTCCTATTTCATATTCCATAAAAATTGATCGAATATGTATACTTAAATGTTGTCAGGTAATGTTGTCGCAGATTTGACATATTATTAAATAAATGCATATTAGATTTTTAGATATATTTCCAATATATATTTTTTATTATAAAGAATTTATTTGTAAGATAAGATGTCACAAATATATGCGTTTATGCTTACTTTTATAATAACAAACTGCGTATTAACGCATTTAGGAGAATTGAAAGTTAAAAAAAAAAAAAAAAAAAGGGAAAAATTTAAAAAAAAAATAAATTTTCGTTATTTTATATATATTTTTTATTATAAGGAATTTATTTGTAAGATAAGATGTCACAAATATATGCGTTTATGCTTACTTTAATAATAACAAACTGCGTTTTAACGCATTTAGGGGAATTGAAAGTTAAAAAAAAAAAAACCGAAAAATTTAATATAAAAATATATTATCGTTATTTTATATATATTTTTTATTATAAGGAATTTATTTGTAAGATAAGATGTCACAAATATATGCGTTTATGCTTACTTTAATAATAACAAACTGCGTATTAACGCATTTAGGAGAATTGAAAGTTAAAAAAAAAAAAAAAAAAAGCGACAAATTTAATATAAAAATATATTATCGTTATTTTATATATATTAATTATTTATCTAAGAGAACATATACCATAATATACTATTTCAAGATCGGACAAGCGAGGACAGCGCGAAAGACCAATGGAAAATTTCACGCCGCCGTCGTCTCGTCGGTTCGATTGCACATGTCACGAGTAAAATGATAAATTATTATTACAAACGGGGAATTGTTTACGTGAAATAAGGAGGAAGCAAAACGAGAAATCAAGTAATGCAATCGAATCGCGTTCCGCGTGATAACGAGTTGAAAAAAAGAGGTCGATATTATTTAGCAATATGTTTTATTATTCATGGAATTGATTCTAATATCTAATTTGTGCTCCATAATAATTCGAAAATTGGACAGAAGAAAACTGAATATCTTAACTTTTTTTCTCTTTCTTGGGATTTAATAATTTAGTCCTAACCGGTTTCAACCGGTTCGATCGATCGATCAAAAAACACAAATCAAAAAGTATAACTTTCTCCTAATTCTATCTCTATCGATATTTTCGTAATTCCTTTATATATATCTATATCTTTGTCACGCGAATTAAGATTGATAATTATCTAAGATTTATCGAGAAAAGATAGGGAATATCGAATTTTTATTACCGAGAAATGTGAAATAGCACAATTAATCGCGATCCAATACACTATATATAATAATCAATAACGATAATTCCTTTATTCCTTCCTATCGGATTAGAGACATTTATTTTTCTTCGTTTGACCAAGATTATATCAACATACCCGTTTACGATATGTCCCTTTCTTATTCATTTCACCACACAGATTACGCAACAACAATTGCTACGATTCGCATTTACCACATATTATAGAATTTCCGATCAAACAAGATCATTTAAAATTCGTCCTATTCATTCTATTTATCACTATTAATATCGGAATATTTTTTACATTTGATCGCATTCTATTATATTTTAATATGTTTTATCGCTTCTTCTTTTATATACTATATATTTAATCATCAATATTATCGACTAAGTCACGTGAGTATCATATATATCATATCATAAAATTTCGTTACAGATAAACTATAGTTTTATCATTTTAACGATAGATTTCTCGATGGCAATTCAAATTCTCCTTCAATATATCATGTTATTTACTATGTTAGTACATATATACGTATACGAGTATATATAATCCAAAATAGAAAATTTATCAAAAAGGTTATCGACAGAAACCGAGCAAAGGACATACTAGCTCATCGATTTGCCTGTTTTTATACAAATGCGGTGGACATGAATAATTACTACTTACGATTCCAAGCGATTCTATGCGTTTGACTTTTTTCTCTTTTTTTTTTAGATTATAACGATGTTCGAGAAATAAACGACCGAATCGTTTTAAGATAAGATTAGTAGACACACAACGAGAGTATTTCAGTCCAAATAGAGAATTCATTACGAATCGAAAATATTCGAAAGAATATAAAAAAAATAAACTACGATCGTTTGAATGGAATCGAATTATTGATAAAATAATTGCACGATGTTACTTCTTTCCAATCTGATATATATATTTCGAGATATAGTTCTAAGATTATACGATACCAAATGATATAAGATAAGTCATTAAAAAAAAAAAAAAAAAAAAAAAAAAAAAAAAAAAAAAAAAAAAAAAAAAAAAAAAAA